GCGAACGCAGCGCCTACCATTCCTTCAGTTGCAGCAGCAGCCCTACCAGACGCTGCAGCAACACCTAAAGCAGCAGCAGCAGCAGCAGATTGCTGCAGCAGCCCCACAGTTGCAACGCCTTCTACTGCAGCAACTGCCACTCCCTGCTGCAGCCTCTTCCGCAGCGACAGCAACTGCGACACAGACACAGAAGGCTTTAGCCCCACGCAGGCCCTTGCTGCTGCTGCTGCTGAGAGCAGCAGCAGCAGCAGCAGCAGCAGCAAGGAGGATGCGGCGGACGAAGCTGCTGCAGACATGGGGTGGGCCCCGAACTCGTGGCGGGTACGGAAAGAAAGCATTTAGAAAGAAAAGAATTAAATTATTTATTATTTAATCATTTATTGATTGATTGATTGATTTATTTATTTATTTATTTGTGTTTGCCGCTGCTGCTGCTGCTGCTGCGCTGCAGGGCCTGCCTGCTGCGCAGGACCCGTTCGGGGCGGCGAGCGCTGCTGCAGTGTCTGGGGTGTACAGACAGCTGCTGCTGCTGCCGCCGCTCGTTGCAGCAGCAGAAGTTTCATCACTTTTATTATTTTTGAAAAAGGTGCAGCAAGGGGGGGCCTTTTTGCTGCAGGGGGGGCCCTGCGCGGAGTTGTTTTGCTGCTGCAGCGCAGCAGCAATCAGCAGCACGGCCTCGCTGCTGCTGCAGCTCAAAGCCCTCCTCGAAGATCTGCTGCAGCAGCCAGTTGTTGCCGTCGCCAGAATTGCGGGACAATATGCAAAACCCAGGTTAGGGTTTAGGGTTTAGGGTTTAGGGTTTAGGGTTTGGATAGCTGCGTGGGTGAGGGCGGCCATTTTTAACTGCAAAGGCAGCAGCAGCAGCAGCAGCATTGGCTGCAGCAGGAAGGGCAGCAAGAGCTCCAGCAGCAGCAGCAGCTGCTGCTGCTGCTACTGCAACTGCTGCTGCTGCAGACTGCGTATATCTGCTGCCATTTGATTGCCACTGCTGCTGCTGCTGCTGCTGCTGCTGCTACTCCTGCTGCTGCTGCTTCTGCTGCTGCTATTGCTGCTGCTGCTGCTGCTGCTGCTGCAGGAGCAGCAGCACTGAGGAGTACGAGGGGCGTCTGGTGCCTTCTTATAAAGGCGATGCTGTCAATACACTCCAACCCCAAGACAGAGTCCGCACTTTATTTTATTTTATTTTATTTTATTTTATTTTATTTTTAATTTTGATTTTAATTCTTCTATTTAATTTTTGTTTCGCCTTTTTATTCTTTTTTGATTCTTTTATCTATTTTCCTCTTTTTGCTTTTTCTTTTTTTGTGTCTTTTTAATTTAATCTTTTTTGTTTTTTTTTCCTTTTGTCTTTTTATCTTTTCTTCCATGTCTTTTGTTTTCTTCTTTTGCTCTTTTTAATTTTATGCTTTCAGTTTTATTTATTCTTCTTGTAATTCCTTTTTATTTGTTTCGTTTATATTTTATTTCAATTCTTTCAATCTTTGTACTTCTTTTTCTTTTGTCTTTTAAATCTTTTATATGTTAACTTTTTTGTGTATTTTAATTTTCCTCCTCTTTTTTTTTACTTATTATTCGTTATTTATTTATTTACAGACTTGTGTGGTTATTTATTTATTTATTTATTTATTCGTTTATTTATTTATTTTTTATTTATCATTTATTTATTTATTTATTTATTTATTTATTTTTATTTTTATTTTATTTATTTGCAGAATCCAAACCCGAAGAGAATGCTCGCCGGTAAGCTGTTGTATCTTTTCTTTTTTTCTTTTTCTTTTTCTTTTTTTCTTTCAGTATCTTTCCAATCTTTTCTCAATTTACTTTAATATTCTTTTACATCTTTTTAATCTCCTTTCAGTCTCCTCTAAATCTTCTTTTTACTCTCATTTTTATTTGTCTTTAATCTCCTTTTTAATCTCCTTTTTAATCTCCTTTTTAATCTCCTTTTGTCTCTTTTTTTATCTTTTTTTAATCTGTTTTTTAGTTTCCGTTTTGTCTCTTTTTATTTCTTTTTATTTTTTTATCTTCTTTTAATTTCTTTTTTTTCTTCTTTTTTTCTCCCCAATAGTATAACTGGCTTGCCTTTTATTTTACCTAAAATAATTAAATTTACCTTTTTTTCTTTTATTTTATCTTTTTTATTTTATCTTTTTATTTTATCTTTTTTATTTTTGTCTTTTTCTTTTTCGGTTCATTTCTCTTGCCTCCTTCTCTCCCCCTTGATAAGCAATTAATTGTCTTTTAATTTATTTAATTATTTATTTATCTATTTATTTATTGATTTATTTATCTATTTATTTATTTATTTATTTATTTATTTATTCAGCTTATTTCCACTCGGCTGCGACTTTAAATTACCTGCGGCATTTTTTGTGCGGTGAGTTGGGGTGTACGTACACCCGAGACAGAGTGCTTTTTGGAGCTGCAAAAAAACGCAAAAAGATTTTCACTTTTAAAAAAGAAATAAAAGTCCTTTTTGGCAGCGGAATGGCCAGCAGCA